ACCGGCCAGGTTAGTCAGTATTTGGCCTCTTTTTATCCCCTCTATCTCGGAAAGCGGAGGAGAGTATCTGGTTCTAATCTTCTACGGTGCTTTCCATTCTGTGACAAATCTCCACAACATTCCTGTGAAGATGGGAGGTAACATTATCTATGTCTTACAGACAGGGAAACTCCAGTGCAAGGGAGGATACAGATGTGTGGATGGATGCAATGGCATAGCCAGGAAGAGAACCATATCATTACTCTGAGGCCTGGGCTTTAGCCATATACCATGCTCCTTCCCTAGTAAGGTACTTAGGCAAGTCTGTCTTTTGTTTTAAGTTAAACACAGACCTTTTCCACTTTTGTTGGCAGGCATTTTGCCTTTTATTTTAACATCACTTTTCTGGGACTAAGTCTGTCCATCAGCATTTGGCAATTCTCACTTCAGGATAAACACGACTCCTCTAAAAAAGGAGTCCCCATTCTGAGCCTCAGAAGGAATCTGCTTTTCTAGGGTCAGATCTTACATGACGTGCTCAAGGGAATTTACTTGTCAAATGCTTTTCCATGAGACATATGCCATGGAATCATAAACAGCTTCAAATAGCTATCAAAGTGCATTTCTTGTCAGGGCGTACACTATTGAATATATTTAGTTATTAACCAGCAGTAGTTTTATTTATTAGTGACCATTGCTGTCCCGAGGGTTTGTCTTCGCAGAGTTAGAACACCTTGAGAAGTCATGTTAACCAACATGTTGCTAAACAGAACTTCGCTGTAAGTGTACACATGGACCAGATGTGCTTACCACCCTATTATCTGACCGTCAGTAAACCTCAAGCCCTATAAATTCATGTTTAACATCTTATTAGCTAACATGACTTCTCTGAGGTCAGTTTGAGCAGGGGGTTGGACTAGATGACCTCCTGAGGTCCCTTTCAACCCTGATATTCTATGATTCTATGACTTAGCTGCTCAGTGAAATCAAAGGAAGTGTAATGATTTACTGTACTATTGTAAAACTCTAAGGGCCAGATTCTTTCCCCAATGACCACTGAAGTTGACAGGAACTAAGGGTAAAATCTTGACCATAGCTACATTCTCACACAAGGGAGTAAGTAGATGAACAGCATCTCCTTGCTTCCTTAGCAATGGTAGTAATATGGGAGAGACCAGCTTTCACAAGTCTGCTACTCCTCATCCTCCACAGTGGGATGAGAAATGCGTGGGAAGAGGCAAGGAGTGGGTGGAGCCTTGACTCCATCCCACCCCTCAACATGCAATATTATGCTCATGTAGATAGAGAAATATCTTTGACTTCTGCCAATACTGCAGATTTACACTGGTGTTTCAGAGCAGAACTAGGTCCATCACTCCCAAGTGTTCTGGTACACAAATAATCTAACTGAAAATATTTGCCACATACAGGACTTGATCTTGCAAGCACATGATTGCTGCAGTCTAGCTCAAGGGTAGATGGAGGCTATACTTGGGACACAAGTAGTGTTAATCAATACGGTGGGGATTTTCAAAGCTACCTAAGGGATTTGGCCTCCAAATTCCAGAGTTAAAATGATGGACTTAAGGGTCTAAATTCCTTAGGCAGCTCTGAAAATCGCAGTCTAGGTCTAATTCCCTACACTGACACGTAGTTAAGTCTCAAGTCCCCGGCATGCCTGCTTGCTTACTCACAATTACATAAGGTTAAGGGAGAGGGGTCTTTGAGGATTGTACTTAAGACCTTGTCTCCTCAATCATACTAATGGGGCAGGTAGCTACACATTCTTCATTCTATGCTTCTGCTTCTAGACAAGGAACGCACTGGTGCTCTTACGAATATAAAATAGAGTTCCCCTGCACTCTCTCTCCTGCTCGTTACTTTTTACCTTGCACTTATGTGGGCAACACTCAGTACCTGAGCTGTTCAGGATTATGCCCCTCAGGGTATCTGCACTAAGGATACTGTTGAACGGCTTAACCATGAGTCAGAGGGCACCTGCTTTAGTAACACAGAGGACATGAATGGTATTATGAAGCTCTTACTTTGCAAGCTTACTATAACATCAGGGACGTGTACTAGGAGCACCAAGAGAGAAGCAACTGAACTAAGAAATGTCAATGAGCACCAGAGACTCTTGTCCTTGTCCTGTGAATTAACCTTTCCCCGCTCCACTTTCCATCAGTACGCAATTAGATTTAATAGGTTCAGGTTCATATTTTCACGAGTGGACAGTTCCTGTCAAAGCTCATCTGCAGTCAGCTCCAAATTAATATTTTATTGGAGGAAATTAGCAAAATGAAACCAAGCCTGGCTACTCACCACCAGTGACATTTCTATGAACCATATGATGGTTGGTCAGCTTGCTATGGATAGCGCACATATTACAAGCAGTACTGAGGCCTGTTTTGCCCCAGGGATTTTTAAGGCAGAATATCTCTTCATATCACTCTGTCATGGAAGCTCTGAGTAAGGGGCAGCATGTAGTTGTGCTGTCCTGGGAGCAGACCAGGGACCAGATAATGACTCTGAGTTGCAAAGTGGTCCTGGATTCCTTCCTTTATGCAGGGTAGAACTAATCAGCACTAGCTCTACGGCTGGCTGTGATTGTTCCCACCTCTGTGCTAGCTCAGCTGTGCTGGACTTCGTTTTGTCTGGGAAGAGAGTGTGTCAAAGCTGTGCTATTCCCTGCCCCTGCCCCCCCTCTGTGGAAAAAGAGGAGTAGCAGCCATGCTCTGTTGTGGGGCAATAATGGTAATCAATCCCACGTTGCTGCCAACAATAAGGGTAACCAAGAGGTGACTTATACAACCTCTGTGTGGGTAGCCAGGGTCAAGTTTTCACTTATAGCTCCTTTTAACTTCATTGGCAGACAGGGGTGCTGGAACAATTTGTATAGTGGGGGTGCTGAGAGCCATTGAACCAAACATAAACCCTGTATATGATCGAAACCCCTTCAAGCCAGGGGATGCAGCAGCACCCCCAGCACCCCTAGTTCCAGCACCTATGTTGCTAGATGGGGAAAGAATCTGTTCCTAAGATTTTTACTTTAATGTAGCAAATTACCATCATGGCACCTGTAGGTCTCCTGCAGCATTAACATTTTCTCTTTCCATCTTTATTCCTCACACATGTAAATCTTCATCTTTCAAAGTGAATCTCATTTTGTTCTTTTCTGCCCATGTTTCTAATCTCTCTAGTTTTCTTTTTATTATTTCTGGGTTCTGACGGTGTCGCACCCTTCTCTGGTTGATACTATCTGTGAATTTCATTAGTGCGCTGTTTGCTCCATCTTTAGATTAGCAGGAACAAAAATGGACCTTTCAGTTGCCAACTAACCAGTTCCGTCAACCTGACACTGTATCATTGATCATTATAAGGCTGAGGCAGTTCTCCATTCCCACAACAAGCCCATTTCAACGCAAGGTTTCAAGTAAGATTTTGAGAGGCACTGTATTGGATTCTTTACTAAAATCTAAATATATTCCATTGACTATGCTCCCCTTATCCACTATTTCTGTAATTTCGCTCACATTTAGCTTAATCAATTCCATACGGCTAGGCATGCAATAACAAGTGGCAATGTGACTTAGGGTGTTCAAGAGCTAATTAATTTCATTTGTGTAGGCTGAAAAATCAAGTGGGTTCTATAATGTGGCAAATCAAGTTGATTACAAGGTTGCAGTGACAACAGATATAGTTTGACAGTCACAGCAGTTCTGGACAAAGTCAGTTTGCCAGTCACATGTGCCGAGAGTGGCACGAAGGAGACAGAGCTATGTGCACCTCTGATAAAATGACTTTTAAAACCAACAGGAAGTGACTGCACTAAATGCAAGCACGATTTTCCATTTTTAGGGCAGCCGAGACAGGCACCCTGATGTGTTGAAATCAACATCACGATGTCTCCTTTATTTATTTTAACATGAGCGTTGCTTGTTATTTTAAGCTACGTGACAGTGACGGGCTCCTAATCAGTCATCTCACACTCACCAAGGGGTTAAAGTTCTCTTTCTAGTGAATAGCAGGGGTTTGAAATGAACCTCAGAGACTTCCCCACAGATGTCAAAAGAGAAACAACAGTAGCGGGGAAGAAAGTTGAGAGATAGTGGCTCACTCCTCCCCTGCTCAAATAGCCAATGTATCCTAGGTTATAAATATGTTACAGTTGCTGTAGTAAAACCTAAAAAAGAGGTTTGCCTTTCTTTAGCTTTTTCTGACTCTCTGACGGGGAGACAAGAGGTGAGGAAACACAGGCTGACAAAGAGCATTGTTCCTTTCTGACCTATGAGGCAAGCATAGCTACTTAGCATTGTAAAATGAATGGGCACAGCTACTTTCCTGGTTCTTCTGCTTATGCATCTGGAAGCTGTACTGGCTACAGCTTGTGACCGTGGCCGCAGCACTTTAATGCAAGTGCTGAGGGGCCACTTGTCAACCTTCCCTTTGTTGGAAAGGTTGCAAACATCCAAGTCCCATTACAGCATTGTACACACTGCTGGAAGAAGGGAGATAGGTCTTGACAGGGTAGCCTGTAGGGACAGTGGCTTCACCAGCCATCACTACCAGTGATCGCATTGCTGCAGGTATGTGAGCAATAACTTTGGTAAGTGAAAATCCAGAATCAGCTTAAATGCTAATCAAAACAAACTGCAATTAGAGGAACAGCTAAACATAGTCCATGTCTGCAGCCCTGTGCATTTGATTTGTTAGGTATATGAACTCAGAAGTACATACCTTTTTAAAACTCTTTGCGTGAAGGGACTTTGTCTTTCATAAGCTGCTTAAGCTTCGTTTACACTTACGGTACTGTATAAATAATAAAAAACTGAGGCTTATCATCAAATGTTACAATAAGCTCTTATCTGATCTATTTTTACAGTAGCTACTGGAGTGAGTGGTAACTGATCCATCATGTGACAGAGGCATTAAACATTTGTAGCCCTAATCTATATCAGGTGACTGGTATTAGGAAATAAAGTCCAGCTGCTTACAGTTCTCCTGTGTGTGTCACATTTTAGCTGAGATCTTCACAAGAATGAAAGATACTAGCAAGGGGTGTTAGATGAAGTTACAGCCCATGAATAGCAATAGTGTGACCTATTGATGCATCTTTTCATGAAAATGGGAGAGCAAGAGGCAAATAATTTTCACCTGGCTTCTATTATTCATTCACCTACCCAGTAAGAAAAAAAAGTATGGCTTCTGTTTTAATCATGTAGGAAATGAGCTAGGCAATCGGTAATAACACATTGTGCTGTTATAGAGATTACATTGATACTTTGCCCAGCAACAAGAAAGGAAAGTTTTGGTTCGGCAGAATAATCCAAATGATGTTGGTTTGCACTTGTGCACAAAAGGTGAGACTTACTTGCATTATTAAATGTTTCTATTTCATTATTATTAACTGTTTTGATTAGAGTAGCTACTTTTAAGGAACTCCTTGGATTTTTGTTGGTCTCTACAGCTGAGCTGAAGGAGTCATCTATGAAGCAGATTTTCAGAATCATTCTGTGCTTACATTTACACATCTGATGTATGCAAATTCCCAATGTGTGCACTCAAATCAGGTATTTGTGTCCCTACATAGCCATATCTCCTGGTAAATAGTTGATTTACACATGAACATCTGATACTTGCACATATTGCGTACTTGTATACCTATTGATACACTGAGAGCATTCAAATGAGTGTATGTGCCTCACTTGGAAATGTATCCTTGCATGGGTATACTATTATCTATTATTTGTTTAGCAATGTTCTTGGTGCTATACAAAACAAAGAAAAGGAGAGAGTTCCTGCACTCAGGAATTTATAATATACAGACTTAGAAAACAACAATTTCAGTGTATAGCGTTTAGCAGTATCGCTTTGGGAAAAAATATAATTATTTTTAGTGGTATGAATAAATCAATATTCCTTGGGTAAACACATGCTTAGGACTAAATTGCTGGATGCATATTGTTCTTTCCCCTAGAGACTTATTTTCCCACTGTAATATGAACATCACTTAAAACAGTATTTTTGATACCTTAAAAAAATCCCACAAAAATTAGCATTATGTAAGGCCAGCGCAATGCATTTATAGGTTTAAAAAATGCCCAAGCTCTTACTGTGAATCTATAACTCCACATTTCCTTTCATAAAAGATAATTTCAGTGTTGGCAATTTTGTCTCCATAAAAATTAGTTAGCAAGTTCAACAAGCCACTTTTCTCACAATGTCCTCAATGTATTCCAGAGTTTTATATAATACAGACTCTAAAGACCAGATACTCGTTTTCACTTAGCCCCTTTTCCAGGAGCCTTAAAGTAGACATAAAATATAATTTGGAGTAATACAAAAGAAAAATTGATGCTAGTATGTTTTGTAAAATAACATGATACTCTCATTATATGCTACATGTATCCCACTCTCCTTCCAAATTAAGGCCCAGATTAAGGAAAGGAGCCTTATTCAGGAAAGGTGCTTTGTCTTTAGTATATGGTTGAGCCCCAGTTAAGCATCTGCTTAAGTCCTTTCCCTGAATTGGCGTCTAACTGAACAGTCTAGCAATAGTACATGGGAAAGAGTTCAGGGTTCAGAATTTGGCTTAAGCCAGCTGAGAGCCATGATGATTTTAAATTGAAATCAGGTATGTCCATTGGCACAAAAAGCTGGGGGACTTTATTACACTTTAAAAAAGCCCACAGAAGGGGTATATGTTTTGTGCATTATGTGTAAATCTTTCAACCACTGAAGGCAAAGGGATGTTAGGAATTGACTTCAATGAGAACGAGAACAGGCCCTGTCTGAATAGCTTTTAATTGGGTAATGACTTGAGAATAATAGTGAGGAAGGAATATTCAGAAGTACTTAGATTTTTGTGGGAGTAGGAGTAACAGCTCTAATACCAATGTTGTAGCTACATTCTCATCTTATCTTTTATCACCCTATCTTTTAATACAGTATGTAAGTGAGCTTTTCTGATGAATGATGTGCACTAGTTTAACATAAAAAATCCTGAGACTTTCATGTCTCTTTTGGGTGCTGTTTTAAACCCACTCTGATTTGCTCTGTTGCAGAGTGCAAAGCCTCTTGGGTTTAATGTCTGACACATAAACAACACATTTCTCATGAAGCCCACAGCTCTGCTTCTCTGGAGACTACTGGCTGGTGCTACTCTGCAATTCAGCTGCTTTGCTGCTCTTTTCTATGATAACAGGCACAAGTGAGCATCTGGCTTGACAAAGTGCTCAGGCCGGGGACTCAGTTGAGCTGCAGCTCTGTTTTTAAATCATATTACAATAGGCACCATTTGATGACAAGAAAAAAATTATTTCTGAAGTACCCCCTTGGCCATCCCATCCAAGGCACTGTGCAATATTATTAACATGAGAGAGTACTATGAAGACTATCCACAGGTGCTGACTTTTTGTTTTTGCCAGTGGGTGCTTTTGAAGAAGTGTGTGTGTTTCTGGGAATGGGGGGGGGGGTAAAGCTCTGTCAGTTTTGGGGGGAGGCTATTTTCAGCATATTTATATGCTTCTTTCATATTCTAGTTATTGAATATGTGTCTATCACTGGTATGCTAGTGGGTGGGGGCCTCAGAGGAGGAGGCAGAGAGGAATGCAGGGGCTCGTGGGAGGGGGCAGAGAGAAGTGGGTAGGGGGTGCCTTGTGGGAGGAGATGGAGGGGAGCAAAGGGTGAGCAGGAGGGCCTCAGGGGATGAGGCATAGAGAAGCAGGTGGGGACACCTTGGGGGAGGGAGCCTCAGAGAAAGAAGCAGAGGAAAGGTGGGAAGAGGCAGAGTGGGGGCAGGGCCTCAGGGGAAGAGACGGACTGGGAGTGGAGCCTCAGGGTGGAGCTGGGGGTGGGGCCATGGTCTGGGCGCAGTGGGCCCCCCACACACACTTCTAGGAAGCTTCCAGCACTTCCATCCAGCCTCCCCATAAGCAAGAGTCCTGTGTTGCCTACGACTATGGTTCCTGGGAGCTGAGCACCCCCTATTTTTTTCCGGTGGGTGCTTGAGCAACCCCGGAGTCAGCACCTATGAGACAGTCTAACAAAAACACACTCTGAATCCACAATGAAGGGAGTTAATGTATGGGACTCACTTCAGGAACACAAGCCAAAAAAAAAGGAGTTAGAGGGAAAGGTAATAAATATGGGTCCAAACAATGGTCCTAAAGGTCCTTCCACACCTTTGGCAAGACAGTGAAGACTTTTTCTCAGTCTGAGGTGGACTGAGACAGATAGCGAGAGGGTGGGTGGGTGGCATGAGAATGAGGCACAGTGGCTGAACAAAGTGAGACTGATCCACTAATGTGCCTCTTAGTTCTCTGGTGAGCTGCATCCTCTGGAGTGGAAGCTCGAGTTTCAGTATTCAGCTTGACCAAATAGGTCACTGCATTTAAATCTAAGACACTCTGCTGTGAAATTAAATCCATAAAAGTTTCTCTTATGTAGCGATCAGTTGCCAGGTATTGAGTTACAGCAGAAACACACTCTCACTTCCTGAAGCACATTAAGGATTGATGTGTTAGGCCTTCCATGCCTGGAGAATTGAAGGAAATAATCATTAAAAATGTAAATTCAGTGCTCTTGAAAGATGACCTCTAATTTCTTTTGATTATCTCACTGGAACGTGTACTTTGTCTTGAAACTTTAACAAAGCTTATCTGCCACTGTCAGGGTTTAGACAGTAATGAGCTATGTTCTTGCAAAATCATTATCTCTCTCTCTTGCTATTTCCATTGTAGACTGAGATAATCTCTGAGGATTTCAAATCCCTTGAAGGAATCCAACCACACATTGTTTCAGCTGTTCCTCTGTTCCAAGTCAACTAGTTTTCCTTAAATTCCTCACAAGGGCTGCCGTGACCTAATATTACAGCTTGAATACTAAGTTTCAGCCTCTGATACCCTCATTCAAGTTGAACTGAACTCTGGAACGGAATGTCCCATGAAATTCCATGTAACTCAGACTGAATAAAGGCATCAAGACACAGCCTTAAATATTTAAGAGGAATTGGTCCTTCCATTCTGCCCTTTCTCTGAATTATTAACTTCATTTCTTCATTTTAATGGGGGACCCTGTTTTCTCCAAACTACCCTCTCCATTTGAGCCTTGTGCAGCAGTCAAGGTTCCTTCCCCACTCTGAACTCTAGGGTACAGATGTGGGGACCTGCATGAAAAACCCCCTAAGCTTATTTTTACCAGCTTAGGTTAAAACTTCCCCAAGGTACAAATTATTTTACCTTTTGCCCTTGGACTTTATTGCTGCCACCACCAAGCGTCTAACAAATATATAACTGGGAAAGAGCCTGCTTGGAAATGTCTTCCCCCCCCCCAATCCTCCCAAACCCAACACCCCCTTTCCTGGGGAAGGCTTGATAAAAATCCTCACCAATTTGCATAGGTGAACACAGACCCAAACCCTTGGATCTTGAGAACAATGAAAAAGCAATCAGGTTCTTAAAAGAAGAATTTTAATTGAAGTAAAAGAATCACCTCTGTAAAATCAGGATGGTAAATACCTTCCAGGGTAATCAGATTCAAAACATAGAGAATCCCTCTAGGCAAAGCCTTTAGTTACAAAAAGACACAAAAACAGGAATATACATTCCATTCAGCACAACTTATTTTATCAGCCATTTAAACAAAACAGAATCTAACGCATATCTAACTAGATTGTTTATTAGCCCTTTACAGGAGTTCTGACCTGCATTCCTGCTCTGGTCCCAGCAAAAGTAACACAGACAGAGAGAGCCTTTGTTTCCACACACCCCCCCCCGCCAGCTTTGAAAGTATCTTGTCTCCTCATTGGTCATTTTGGTCAGGTGCCAGCGATGTTATCTTAGCTTCTTAACCCTTTACAGGTGAAGGGGTTTTTCCTCTGGCCAGGAGGGATTTAAAGGTGTTTACCCTTCCTTTTATATTTATGACACGCCCCCCCAAATCACAGATAGGGTGAAACGCTGGCTGGGATTTCTTCCTGGAGCTCTAGGAGAAAACAGAGTTAATAATACACATGCACCTCTAAATATACTACCAAGTATAGAAAGACTAACAATATTTTCCACATCTCAAGGACGATTTTAACCAGTTGATTCTGGAAAACTTTCACGGGATAGTGCATCAGCCACTTTGTTAGAAGCTCCTGAGATGTGTTGGATGTCGATATCAAAATCTTGGAGAGCTAAACTCCACCGAATAAGTTTTTTGTTATTTCCCGTGGCGGTATGAAGCCACTGAAGTGCAGCATGGTCAGTTTGCAGGTGGAAACGCTGTCCCCAAACATATAGGCGTAGTTTTCCAGAGCGTAGACAATGGCTTAACATTCTTTTTCACTGACTGACCAGTTGCTTTCCCTCTCAGA